GAAAAAAGCCTGCAGAAGCTGTTGGATTCTAAAATCAGAGCTGGCTGAGCACAGGCTAGAAACGAGACACAAAATTAAATGGTATTAAACTTCTCTTTTTGCTAAGTATGGCATGTCTGCAGCTAAACGTAAAAGTAGCTATTAAAATAAACCGAATAGGAAATGCATTGAATTTAAGTAATACCCACAAGGAGATAAGTAAAAGTTAAATTGAAGGATAGAGAAAGAGTTGAATCGTTTGCAAAAAGGAGGCGACACAACTACTCTTTTTTTGTATTAGTTACTTCTCTGTACTTTTGTTTTACTCTTTCTTTTTCGCATTAAGATCAGAAACAAAAAATAGGTTTATCAACAAAACCAGAAGTTTGTCTGACCTTGCGCAATCGGAGTGATGGTTATAGCGTGTATGTAGAAAGGGAAAGATAGGGGTCATCAAAATTTGATGACCGAAAACAGACGTTACTTTTGCTGTTTTAATTCCTTTGAGCCACCTTGGCGGGTTTCGTGCATAAGCGAACACAAATAGGCTCATACACATACAGAGGCAGATACTCTCACAGGCTTCGAAGTTGACATATGACCCTACCCAACCAAAACATTTTATACTTTATCAAACAAGCCATATGTAGAATATATATACCACTTTTTAGGGATCTGACGATGAGTTTTCTCGACTAGTTAGCTCGAATTTCGTTGTGAAAATGATACCTTGCTATGATGATGTTCGTTATATGACGTACAAAAGCTTAGCAACTTTTCACCGGAATCGAATGAGATTACCTCGGAAACATCATCAGCATGAATGCTACATTAAAGCCAATCGACAGCTGGTTAAGAGAAATCCGCCGTCGTCTTCTGGTTGAACCGACCTCCGAGTCTCTTCACCCAACACTTTCACTCTAAGTGGAAGTAAGCTCAAAAAGTAGCTTTTGAACCTATATTTTATGAGATACGAAGTAGGTGCTTTGACCATAAAGCGCAAACGGGTTGAAGTTGTATTAAATGCATATGAATTTGTTGGACATATTTTGAGTAGAAAATTATATATATATGTATGTATAATATTTATTTATTATTTTGCCTAATATTGGTGATTTTGATTATGTTGATAATCCTATCAGTCCAACAATACAGGAAAACATTTGGGTCTATGAACTTTATCCATACAATACACTTTGATTAAATATCTGTTTCCAACCACCTAAAGTGAAGGACTAGACTTATATCACATCAATATATATATATACCCAACTCGATATGTGAATTAAGATTTATGTATAAAATAGGAGAGTGAGAGGTGACCTTTTCTTTTTTTACAATTGGAATACCCAGGAGGGGGACATAAGGAAATTTTATGCTCATGTCAAAATACAACACGTTTTGTTAACCTATTAACCAAGGTGACGAAATATGCTTCCATTCAAAAACCATTATATTGCAAGTTGAATAGAAATCTCTATTGATATATTGTGGTGGACATTACTTCGAATAATTCAAACATAGTCAAGGTTAACCATTTTACTCAAAGCAAAAATAAGATTGGCCAAGTATATTTAAGCAAACTAAAACTCTTATGTGAGACTAATGTTCTCCTAAAATCTGAGCTTGGGTATGCAGATGACGTAATTTGTGCAATAATTACCTAAATTATAGGCTAATTACAAAAAAACTGTATGCAACTCCTGTTTAATTCTGAAAATTTACCCCTGATTCAGTGTCTTTCGTCTCACTTAAAAGCAAGGTCTATTCGACCTGCCATTTTGCCGATCCGCTTCTACCCTTCTGAGGGTTCAGAGGAGGAGGTACCTGAGGATATGGATCCAGAAGACTTATTTCGACAGGTAACATTCAAGCAAATGCCGGCGTTTGGCTGGCGTTGGAATCGCAGTAGTTGGGATCGCTTCTGCCCAGTTTCACTTTACCATGGACAAAAGGTCATTGGGAAACCTTCTCATGCTGTCGGGTAATATAATATAGTTTTATACTGTTGTTAGGCCTAGATATCATGCTTATATAATGATAAAATATATTTTATCTGGTTGACCGCCATGGTGATCCATAAACATCTGAACGAAAAACATTGCAAGTGGTACTGTAGGCAGAGGCTACTTTTGAGTCTCTTTAGCTCATCAGCAGAAGGAAAAAGTCTGAAGTGACTTGATGCCTTCTCGGCATTCTTTATTCTGCTTAAAATTATCTTTTCCTGTCCATTCTTTTTACTCATTGACCTTATTTAGACAACTTTACTTATTCTGATCGTATTACACGCAACCAACTATAGTTAATGAATTGTGTTCCATTCCGGCACTATTTTGTGCCTCTTCAGCACTATCATATCCTATAATATGCCATTTTTAGAGCAACCACTATATTTTGTTCAATGCTTCCTATAATTTATTAATTGTTTTCGGATGATCTCCATTTTTCTCATCCTATCTTTATATATTATTCAAATTATGAAATATTTTTATGATTTTATTATTTTCTGTAGTATTCTCTTATTATGTACCTAACCAGATACATTTCTACATTACTATATATATTTACATTTTTCTTTTGCCCATTATCTTATTAACTTTGCTTTATTTAAATTATATTATATTCCATTATATTCAATTATAAGCTGTCATTTATTAACTATTCTTTAATTATTATTTACAACACTACTTCACAATATGTTCGTTCTTGTTGACTTCAGCTTAGTCTAATTTCA